GGAAAGTACCATTTCACCACTTCCGCTTAACTTGAAGTGAACTTGAAGTGATTTTTTATTGTTTCGACCGTTTCAGCAGCGTTTTACCTAGGTGAAGTGAAGTGAAATGAAGTGGTGAAGTGGTGCTTTTACCCCCTTCGCGAAACCACTCATATAAATGTAGCAGCAGACTAAATGGTGAGAAGCCAGCATTTGATATCAAAGATTTACCAGCAAACATAACAGGTAAAAGAAGATATGCCTGATGATGAATTGAGGAGCTTCGAAAGCTTGTACTTCCATAAAAAGCTTTTGTGTTTTTTCACGTTAGAGAAAGACCAAGAAAGCATTCACTATTCAGATTAGAAAGATTCAATCCAAGCTAAAATCGATCTGTGGGATGCAAAAAGTGTTCATACAGGAAGGTGTTCACATAAGGAGGTTTTACTCCCGACTGTTTTTGGTCGAAATTTGACTGTTTTTTGGATTTTTTTTAAATGTAGCTTTTAACTGTTTCCATTATTTATATTCTAGAAGACGAAGCACTTAGTTATGCCAGACGTACTGGACAAATGCTGACATTAAATCACAAATTCGATGTAAAAATTGTAATACCATCAAGTATGTCTTATCTTTTCTATGGTTCTTCTATCGAAATAATCACTCAGGTTCGTTTTTTCCAGAGGAAATTGGAGAAGAAAATAATGACACAAGAATACAAATGGAAAATAAGGAAAGTTTATAGGATTTTTGATAGTATGAGTTTCATAGATTGACAGTCGTGTTCATCGATCAAATTCTATAGGTCGAGAAAAAACATTGATTTTGATAGCAAGCTTAAATTGTCAGATTGAGTAGAAACATACTGTTAGATACTTCTATTGCTATTACGTAGTCCACTCACTAATTCTCTGAGGGCTTTAATTCAGAATGCTGACAAACAATGGCGATAAATGTGTTGTAACTGTACAGAACAAAGTTAGTTTTTGTTCGAAGTTTATCATAATGAATTATTTTTTCTCTAGCAACTTATTTATCACCAGATGTATGGTATCGATTCTCAAATTATTATTATAGCTTACATTATTCAGTTGGCATTGAAAATGTTGAACCATACAAAAATAAGCCACATATGCAACCAAATGGTAATTATGATAGCCAGTGTTGGTGTATAACACCTGTTATGGACAATACAAGTACTGGTTATTATTATCTGTCAACAGTATTTCGTGGTAAAAATATGGTCTTAGATCGTTATGGTACAAATGAAGTACGACTACAACCAGTTGTTCAGACATTATTGTCACAACATTGGAAAATTGTACCGAGGTATGTTTTTAACTGAGAGAGAGAGAGAGAGACAAAGAGTAGATAGCGGTGCCACCAACATTGCAAAACTGAAAACGATTTTCGACAAATACGAACAAGTTCATGAAAGGAAGTCGGAATATCTCCGTATAGTTGATTTGAAACATAAATTTTTATAGACAGATGACAATGATGTTTGAGTTCTTCATTGAAAAATGTAGTTTGTGCATTATCTCTCGTAATACAAGGAAGTTGACCTTAGCAAACAAAAAACAAGGTTTTACTACTAAAAACATAATCTCCTGTCTCTAATTATTGCGTTGTGCTTCGTCTCTTTTTTTTTTCTATTGAAGAATGTTTTATTCTTTCTTTATTAAATCTTTCCTTTTATTCAATATTTGTTTATTACTGAACATGACGGTTATTTTTATATTAAATCACGTAAAGATGGTGCAAGTTTAGATGTTTATAGTGATGACAACAAACTTCATTCGGTAGACGGTAGTGATATACCTATGATAGGACAAAATTGGAAATTGGAGTATTATCAAGCATCAACAAACTATGTACCAGATTAATGTCATCTGGTGGATAATTCGTAATTCCCTTACCTTTGTGTATTTTACGCTCGTACGTTTTCTCACATCAGTCGATAGGGAAATGTTTATTTTAAATATTTAACAAAAACCTCTTTTAATTTCCTAAAAACGGCTTAAATATACGAAAAATACTACAAAAATTTCCAATAACTGATCGCTTTTTTCCCAATTTACTCTATATTTCCTGTACGAAAGTTTTTATAGATGTGACAGACGTCTCATTTTGAAGGAAACGCTTTTTTATTAAAAAATTGTTTTCAGAAGCTAAAAAAAGAACAAAGTAGAAAATTTTGCACATTTCGAAAAAGATGTGTTTTTTTCGAAAAATGACATCTTCGCAGTATTTCGTATTTTTCGCCCGGAAGAAAGTATTTGCTAAGGCTAAAAAGTAGTTTTTCGTGATCGGCAGCTCAAGCTCTATCAAATAATGTAAAAAAAAGCCGAAAAAAATTCTTTTACTGAAAATTCGCATTGCCGGCACCTTACATTAACAGCAGCTATCTGTTGAATTTAAGTTTATTTAATTAAAAAAGATCTGACGTTTCAACTCTTCATAGAGTCGTTTTCAAAGAAAAATATAGAACACTTACTGTACTGAACGATTGAAAATTTGTGAAAAGGAATGAAAAGAATTTTGTCTTTATATAGTGTGTTAGTGATGAACAGTTAGTATTTCTGTTATCGATCATTATAGGTTGTTTTTTCATAACTTTTTTGTTTATCCGCCTGGATCAGTATCCTTCTTGTTCTTTCTGTGAGAAACGCCGTCAGAAAACACAATTAAAGGTACATATCTACGTAACTGTAAGATCTAAGTCAGGATTGAATGATGCAGTTAAGAGAGACTCGTTGACTAACAATCGATACTAAACTTTGTCTCTATCCATTATGCACCAATTTTCACAATCCATAGTGTAAGAGGTGTCTTCAACATGTTTTTGTAGGAAAGACTTCCCATTCTATTAATGTTTGAAATGAAACCATTTTTAATTTTAGAAATGATTTAGAAAAATATTTAACCAAATTTGTGAATTCAAATGAGTCCAAAATTAGAAACATTAAGCGACCATTATTTTATAACCTAAATTTTAGTTTATCATCCAGAAACAATTAAGAAGATCTCAAACACATCTGATTTCAGATTAGAATCATGTTTAGAATGGGATTGTCAATTAATTATGTTTCTGGATTTTCGTTGTCACGTTATTATCATAATATTTTGAAAACAGCATATTCAACTATTAAAATTCTTTGACCATTGAAACATATAAAAAATTTTGAGAATAATTTATATTTTAATTAATTTTAATGTTTTTTCAGTAACCGATAGTTAGCATATTCTAGCACATGAAAATTCAAACATTTTTTTCAGTTAACTGTATTTAGGATACAGGATTAATTGGAGTATTATCAAGCATCAACAAACTATGTACAAAATTAATGTCATCTGGTGGATAATTCGTGATTCGCTTACCTTTGTGTATTTTACGTTGGTACTTTTGTACAATATAGGTAAGAGCAACTTTATCCATCAGTATTTCCAAATAGTTTGTTACCGGAAAATGCCAGAGGTTTGTTCCAGATAGATCTATGTATTTTGCGTGGTTTAATCGTTTTTTCCCTGATAAAAATATGACTGATCGGTTTTTCCCGGCGTTGATTTTTTAAAACAATAAAATTTTCTGGCATGCCTCATGGTTTTCAAATTTACTAATTAACGATTAAAGTTGATTAGGAGCAGTTTAGCAGAGCTTATAGATAAATGTTAGGGCTACATGCTGGTGTAATTTTTAGTTAGTTACTAGCTATCGTTAATTAATAGACAGTTTGGAAAGTGAACCTATGTGTATTTGAATGAACTGATCGCTTTTTCCCTGATAGGAATAGCTTACTGATCGGTTTTACTCCCAGCAGGGAAAAACCGATAACTTTATCAGTAGACTCAATATTTTAATTACACATAAAAATCCTTAATGAATTTTAAGATAATTTTCACATCAGTCGATAGGGAAATGTTTATTTTAAATATTTAACAAAAACCTCTTTTAATTTCCTAAAAACGGCTTAAATATACGAAAAATACTACAAAAATTTCCAATAACTGATCGCTTTTTTCCCAATTTACTNGATTAGCTGTAGACAATCTTAAAGAATGCGTAACTCCAGAAAGAAAGGCCAAAGGGAGTTGATCGACGTCAAAGTGCTTAACTGTATATTGTGGTCAAAACTCAGGTCTCAGAAATCAGAAGTCTTAATAGAACAGGGGACGATGCGTACTCTTAAACAAATTCAATTTTCAATTTAAATGTTAGCTTTAAATATTTACCAAAACTCTTTTAATTTCTTAAAAACGGCTTAAATATACCAAAAATACTACAAAAATTTCCAATAACCGCTTTTTTCCCAATTTACTCTGCTCGTCGTTCCGTATGAGGCGCCGTGTGCGATGTGACTCATTTCCCATTACTCATTAAAAGTTC